CACGCCCCCCCCCCCCCCCCCCCCCCCCCCCCCCCCGCAGTGTCTGGCTCCAATGCCCATCCAGACTCTCCAGATTATAAAGGCTGAATGTCAGAACTGTGTTGTCAAGCTTATTAAGGGCCAGATTCCTGCAACAACTGTAAATTAAAAGGATATTTGTACTTCAGATTACTACATATAAAATCCTATGTGATTTCAAAATTCCTTTAATTTTCCCTACTATCTTTTTCTCTCTTTATATAAATACATACAATATGTAATATAAAGAGTAATTCTGAGCTGGTTTGGCTTCTCCAAGGGAAAACTGAACCTCTTGATTGTTTATGGTATCAGTGAATGAAGAATTGAATAGAAAATTCAAGTGGATAAAACTCCTAGAAGGACTCAAAATCATTTAGAAAGTATGTATTGATTACAGCTGTTAATAATGTTGGCCCATCCTTACAATGTCATTTCAGAACTACATGTGAAACAGCACATTTCCTTTCCAAGGCTAGATATATAATGATCAATCAATATAGTTTCATAGGTGAAAATATTAAAGACAAACAGTTCTACTATAATGAACATCTATTTTTCTAACACATAGAAGTCTGTAAGCAACCATAGTTCTATGCTCGAAACTTATAATCTCAACATTTAAAATCTGTTGTCTGAAGTTAGACACATTCATATTTTAACTTCTGAAGAGGAAAAGGCCCATTTTCAGAGCTCCTGAGTGCTTGGAAACCTGTAAAACCCAGTGGGAGATGCCTATCCAAGAGCTGAATTTAGCCCAGCATACTCGATATGGTTCACTGATGTAAAGGAGGAAGCAAAGACCAAGGAGCTGAGTCTGTAGATGTACCTCGGTTACTTCAAAGAGCAAATACTGAACGGCGGAAGAAGCATACTGCACTTCCTGATCAGGCAGCATGAAAGATGACATTCACTTCTCTAAGGCCAAACTGCGATTATCTCTGCACACGAGGAGTCACCCGAGGAAAGAGGTGATGGAATTCGCACGGGCTGCATGCTTTGGGAAGAGCCGACTTTGTGCTGTTGCCCGTGTACACAAGCCACGCTTAAAATAATGAAACGAACTTACCGAGTACATCAAAAAGGAGATGGGAAGTCGCAAGGTAAGTGTTTTGCCGCCGTGTGCTATATGCTGCAGTGGGATATTGGAATATACTTGAGAAGGCTTTTACATATCATGAAAGGAGACAGACTTACAGATTATCTGACTGATGTGTGCAACACAATACCAAAAAAAAAAAAGGGTAATACAAGAAAAGGAGAAACAGTGATCATCTCCTTGTTGTAGATTGCCGCGTAAGAAAATTCTTAAAAATGTCAGTGCATTTAGAAAGAACGGTTCATAACCGCATGATTTTTCCAGCTAGCAAGAACTTCAATTTGCTACCCCAACCGGTTAGTTTTCGGCGGGGATTTTTTTGCCTTCCCGCCCCCCCCTCCGCCGGCCGCGGCAGGGAAGCCGCGCTGCCGGGAGAACATGCCGGCCCGCTCGGCCGAGTCAGCTGCCGGCTGCCCTCCTCGGGAGCCTCCTCTCCTCCCGCCGCCCCATGGAGAAGGGCTCGGGCTCCCCCCCCCCCTCCTCTTCCTCCCGAGCCGGCCTTCCGCGGGGAGACGGCGGCAAACGGCACCTCACAGCCGGGAGCGGGGCCGGGGCGGGAAGGAGCTAACGAGGAGGAAGCGGATGGCGGCCCGAGGGAGGGAGAGAGGAAGGAAGGAGGGAGAGAAGGGCTCTCCGCCTCCGCCGCCCCTCGCCCGCCCCGGGGGAGGTGCCGCTGCCGCCGGGTCGCGCTGGGGAGCGGGAGCGGGTCGGGACGGCGATGGCGCGGACTCTCGTGGAGCTCTTTTACGATGTGGTGTCCCCTTACTCCTGGCTGGGGTTTGAGGTGAGGGGGGCGCGGAGAGGGAGGGAGGAAGGGGAGGCCGTTCCCGGGGCGGCCCGCCCTTCTCCGGCGGCCGGCGGCGGGCTG